GTGAATGGTGGATACAAGGCTACAGGCTTTATGGGACAGGTGAAAGGAGTGGAGTCCATCATCTGTACATGGCATTGACTAATCTGCAGAAAACACCCACATTCCTCCTTTCAAATGAAGAATAGATGGTAATGGATTTTGTATGTGTGTGTGTGTGTGTGTGCACGCTGGTACTGGGTATTGAACTCAGGGACTTACACTCCTGCTTGGCTTTCTCCACTGAAAGCTAGCTCTCTACTACTTGAGCCATACCTCTGCTTCTAGAAGCTTTTAAATTATTTATTTATTTTGTTGGTTGTGAGGTTTGAACTCTGGGCCTGGGTGCTGTCCTTGAGCTCTTCAGCTCAAGGCTAGCACTCTACCACTTGAGCCACAGCACCACTTCTGGTTTTCTGTGGTTTATTAGAGATCAGAGTCTCACAGACTTTCCTGCTCAGGCTGGCTTTGAACCATCATCCTCAGATCTCAGCCTCCTGAGGAGCTAGGATTACAGGCATGAGCCACCAGCACCTGGCTTGTTTCTAGCTTTATGACAATTAATTGGAGATCAGAGTCTCACAGACTGGCTTTAAATCATAATCTTTGGATCTCAGCCTCCTGAGTAGGCAAGATTATAGGTGTGAGCCACGGGTGCCTGGCTCATAATGTTTTATCTTTTTTTGTTTTAAAAGCATTAATTTATCTACTCAAAGCCTTAATTAGAAAGTTTATTTTCAGGTCTGGAGACAGTTTCCAGTGGTAGAGAGCCTACCTAGAAAGTTTGTTTTAATACTTATTGCCACAAGACTGCTGATGGGTCATTACTGGAAATGTTTGTGAGACTGTGCAGTTGCACAGTAGAATGCTAGCCTTGAGGAAGAAACCACGGAACAGTGCCCAGGACCGAGTTCAAGCCCCAGTACTGGCACACATAAAAAGGACACGAGAGGGGCTGGGAAGGTGGCTCAGTGGTAGAGTGTTTGCCTTGCATGCATGAGGCCCTGGGTTCATTTCCTCAGTACCACATAAGCAGAAAAAGCCGGAAGTGATGCTGTGGCTCAAGTGGTAAGAGTGCTAGCCTTCAGTTGAAGAGCCCAGGGACAGCGCCTAGCCCCAGGGTTCAAGTCCCACCACCACTAACAACAAAAAAAAGGACATGAGGGAAAGAAAGGGTGAGCAGATGCAGTCATTATATTCATTATACATTATGTAAAAATTGAACTGCATAACTTGAGGGTAAGGATGGGAGGGGGAGAATAGGGGAGAAGGATGGAAGGGGTGACATTGATCAAGATGCATTGCACTCATAACCTAACGTATAGAATTGTGGCCTCTTTGTACAATCACTTAATAATTAATTATAAAAACATCACCATGAAGCAATGGCACTTTTAATAGGATAAATTTTGCTATGTATTCTGTAATCAGGTATCATCAATGTAAAAGATTGCTTAGATTACATAAGAGAGAAAAGTCTTTCCACTAAAGGAAAGAACCTTGTAAGTGGTGATAGATCTAGGTCATTATTTGTTTTTCCCGTGTCATGGTCTGTTCCAGCTGCCCTCCAGAGCGTTTTTCCTCAGGCTGAGCTAGGAACATTTCTAACTCTTAGTCGGAAGGACAAGGAACGCCAACTGGTGGAACTCACCTTGATTGTGACTGGAATCCGCTTATTTAACCGGGACTGTGGGAAAGGAGGAGAAGGCATTGACAACTGTAAGTGTATCATTGGATGGACACTCCCCATTTCATGAAGAAAACAATACACAACACGCCCTAGTGTTCTCAGTGGGGATGTTGGCAGTTTGTGTGTGGGGGGGGGTCCTGATTTTAAACATGGGACCTGGGTCCTGTCCCGAGCTTTTTTTTTTTTTTTTTTGCTTAAGGCTAGTGCTCTACCACTTGAACCACAGCTCCACGTCCAGATTTTTTTGGGTGGGGGAGGGAGTTGGGTTGATTATTTGGTGATGCGTCTCACAGGCTTTCTTGCCCAGGCAGGAAACTCGATCCTCAGATCTCATTCCCCTGAGTAGCTAGGGTAACAGGCTTAGCCACTGGTGCCTAGCAAGGTTTGTAGTTTTGATGGTTCCTTAGGAATCATCATTTTTATTTTGATGAGGAAAGAGTTGAAATTATCAAGACCATGAAGCTAGAGTGGGAAAGGTACCACAGGGCCTGGTCTCCCCGGCCCAGAGGAGATTGACATTTACTGCAAGTCAACCAAAAGAAGAAAAGTCAGCAACTGGAATAAAGGTGACCCTGGAAAGAAAGTGGTACGAAAGGTCCCACAGCAGATATTTGCAAACCTATACATTTAGGAACGTGTTATAGGTTTTATGCATATTACATTCTCTTTGTGTGTATATGTGTATGCGTGTGTGCGCATGCACATATGCATGTGCATGTATGTGTGTGCTAGTACTGGAGTTTGAACTCGGGGCCTTGTACTCTTGACTTTTTCCCTCAAGGCTGGCACTCTACCACCTCAACTCTCCCTCCCCCAGAAACCCTGCTTTTTTCTTTCCTCTGTCTTCAATACTAGGGTTTGAACTCAGGGCCAGTGCTTGCTAGGCAGGTACATTGTCACTGAACCACGCCCCTGGACCTGTTTTGTTTTTGTGGGTTGGGATTAAACCAGAGCTTTGTACGTGTTAGACAAGCACTCTTAGCTGCATCTGCAGCCCTTTCTGGGCTTTTTCTCCTTAATTCTTTCTTGATTTCATCACTTCTGTCTTCTTATATCCTTTATAAACAGTGCCAGAGATTCTCCGTGAAGCAATCCCTGCCACCACTCACCACATTGACTGCCAGCTTCAGATTGCCCAGGACCTTGCATATAGATACACAGCTATCCTGGAGAAAATCACAAAGAACCCACTCTTAATTAAAGAGTTTCAGCCACTTCTGTTAAAGGAAGCACTATACAATGTTCGACAATATGAGATTTTCCTTCAGATTATTTTGGTGAGTTAATTTCATACGATCTGGTCTTTTCTATATAACCTAATATCTTTGAAGCAGAAAACTAATTCAGGAGACAACGTCAGAAGCTGCTTAGTTTATGTTGTATTGATAGAACTAAGAACTAAAATAGGAAGGGGCTGGGAAGGTGGCTCAGTGGTAGAGCGCTTGCCTTGCATGCATGAGGCCCTGGGTTCAATTCCCCAGCACCACATAAGCAAAAAGAAAAAAAATGCTGGAAGTGGTGCTGTGGCTCAAGTGGTAGAGCGCTAGCCTTGAGCTGAAGAGCTGAGAGACAGCACACAGGCCCAGAGTTCAGGCCCCACGACTGGACCTCCCCCCAAAAAAAGAATTAAAATAGGAATGGAGAAGTTGGATTTTGATTTTGAGGGTAGAAGTTGATTTCATAGTTGATTTTCTTTGGAACAAGCTGTCATTAACTGATGGTATGAGTATATATGAGAATAATTGTGGTGTTTGTTTTCATTTGAAGCAGCTAATATTATTTTTTGGGGGGGTCCGATTGTGGAGCCTGAACTCTGGGCCTGAGCACTGTCCCTCAGCTCTTCAGCTCAAGGCTAGCGCTCTACCACTTGAGCCACAGCACCACTTCTGGCTTTTTTTCTTTTTGCTTATGTGGTGCTGAGGAATCCAACCCAGGGCCTCATGCATGCAAGGCAAGCGCTCTACCACTGAGCCACCTTCCCAGCCCGCCAATTTTATTTTATAGAATGTTGACACTCAGATGACTTTTGTATAATTATTTGCCCTTATTGTAAAAACTTAATAGAAAAGATTGTTACAGCCATGCCTCAGTGGCTCAAATACCTGTAATCCTAGCGGAGGCTAAGATCTAAGAATCAAGGTTTGAAGCCAGCCCAGGTAGACAAATCTGAGAAACTCTTATCTCCAACTAACCAGGAAAAGGCTGGAAAAGGAGGTGTGGCTCAGGTAGTAGAGCACCAGCCTTGAGGAAAGAAGCCAACAAGTGTTCAAGACCCTGAGTTCAAATCTTGATACCTGTGCATGCATCTGATTGTTACAGCCGATGTTTTTAGGTCTAATTAACAAGTCAAACTACATTAAAACTTTTAAAAAACAGCAGTGCCCTTTCTTTGAGATGAAGAGCTACACAGAATTCTAAAACTAACTAGGAGCAGTGGTACATGTTACGTCAGAATGAGGATGGTCTTATGACCATGTTGGACAACTTCAGGTCAGAGAATTCTTCATGGCCAACTCTAAGATGGAAAGGCGGAGAAAGTAGTTTCTATAACTTCATCATGGGAAGAGAAATTCTCATGTCTATGGTCTGCCTGAGGGAATTATGAGCTAGGAATCATATGGACAAAACCTCTATATGCTGTCATCATTTACCCTTACATTGCCTCAGCTCTCCAATAATGGTGAGATTCGGTCACCAGAACTGTCCTTTGTATAAGCGAATACTGATTTCTTCAGAGATGTCTTCTGGCCTCTTTTACTTAACTTGCTTTTCTTTGTTTTTGGTGGACTTGAGTTTGAACTGGGGACCTCCCACTTGCTAGGCAGGTTTTCCCCATGACCCATACCTCTGGCTTTCTTTTTCTTCTGAAGTGTTTTAATTAATTTTATGTATTCTTGTTATTGTAGAGGTGATATTCAGAGGGGTTACAGTTATATGTCAGGTAATGGGTACTTTTTGGACAATGTCACCCCTTCCCTTGCTCTCTCCCAGTTAGCCTTTTTTTTCCTCTGGTTATTTCTGAGATAGAGGTGGGTTTTTTTTGTTTTTTGTTGTTTTTTTTTTTTTATTATTGTTGGTCATGGGGCCTGAACTCTGGGCCTGGGCACTATCCTTCAGAACTTCAGCCCAAGACTAGTGCTCTACCTCTTGAGCCACAGTGTCACTTCCAGCTTTTTCTGCTTATGTGGTGCTGAGGAATCAAACCCAGGGCCTCATGTATATAGGGCAAGCACTCTAAGCCACCCTCCCAGACCCTAGAGTCTTACCTTTTGCCCTGGTGCAATTCTCCTATTCAGACTTCCTTCTGTAGCTGGAATAATATTTTGTGATGCCACACCCAGCTTTTTCAGATTTTTTTGTACATTTTTTATTGTAAAAATACTGTACAGATGGGGCTGGGAAGGTGGCTCAGTGGTAGAGCGCTTGCCTTGCATGCCTGAGGCCCTGGGTTCGATTCCTCAGCACCACATAGGCAAAAAGAAAAAAGCTGGAAGTGGCGCTGTGGCTCAAGTGGTAGAGCGCTAGCCTTGAGCTGAAGAGCTGAGGGACAGGGCCCAGGCCCAGAGTTCAGGCCCCATGACCAGCCCCAAAAAAAAAAAAATACTGTACAGAGGGGTTACAGTTACATGAGCAAGATAATGAGTACATTTTCTATCGAGCATTGTTGCCTCCTCCTTTGTTTTTCCCCTACCATCCCTTCCCTCCCACCTCCACAACTTTTTTTTTTCTTGATAGCCATCATATCAAGTAGGTAGGTTACAAGCATGAGCCACTGTGCCCAGCTTAACTTACATCTTAATGAGTTGCTACTACTTTTCAATGTACTTGATCTGCCTTTTCTCTTTACCTCGCTGTAGAGAATAAAGAGATAAGCATCCCAATGCCTTCATTGCAACAAACCATGGGTTGTGTTCACTGACCTCCTACCTGATTACCTTTGGAAGAGAGGACTGGAAATCAGTTACTCAAATCAGATCATCCTGTTGGCAAACTGCCCCTTGACATTGACTTTAGCCTCATAACCCATCAGATACTAAAAGGATTTTAGAATCATTTTGTCTTGAGGCATGGAAACTCCTATTCATGTTTGTTATCTGCATTTGGAGGACATATTATAAGCAAGAACCTAGGGAAGCTGTTACATACACTGTAGGGATGTAGCAGAGGATTCCATCCCATTAGAGAGAGAGTCTCTAGCCTCCAGTCGTGGATCATATTCAGTTAGCTGACAGTATTAAATTCTTGTTGGAGTTCCACCTCTCACCACTACAGGGAGCCCATGCTGTCAGCGGATGGCAGGGGCTTTACTCCTGTTTTTCACTTAACTCTGTCCTAAAGGCAGTTGCTCAACTTCCCTGTGCCTTGGCTTCCATATATGCAAGATGATCTGTATTAATTTGTGTTACCATGACAAAATACCTCATATAAACAATTTAAAGGAGGAAGGATTTATCTGGGTTCATTGTTGCTTGACCCATTTTCTTGGGCAGAGCATCATTCATGGCAATAGGAGCGTGTGGCAGGCAAGGTTCTTCACCTCATGGGGGACAGGACATAGGGAGAGAGGCAGAGACAGAGGAAAAGAGAGGCAGAAATTAAGAGAGAAAAAGAAGGGAGTGAAAGAAGAGGGAGGGAGGAAGGAAAGCAGGGAAGGAAAGAGGGGAGAAGGAAGAAAAAAAGGAAGAGAACAGGCAAGTGAGTAGCCATAACAAGACACAGACATGACCTACTTCTTCCAGAAAGGCCCACTTCCAGAAGTGAAAGTAACATCAAGACCCCAACACGAACCTGTTGGGGACAGATACCATTTTCAGCCCATAACATGGTGTCTACTATGTGGATAAGGTAGAACAGTGTCCGGCACATAGGCAGAACCCAATAAATTGATGATGTGGATGCCAATGTCCTTGTCTATAACCATGATCACCATCATTGTCAGGCCTTAGCAGAGCAGCTCTCACTCCATTTTGTGAGGGAACAAGCGGAAGGAATGTTATTTCCCCCGTGCTCACATTATTAAACAGGCATCTGTCTTAGTGTTCTTCCCTGCGATTTTATCCTAACTGTAGTAGGATCGGATTGAAATCTCTTCACTTTCTCTCTGCTGCTTACAGGCTTCCTTTCACTTGTTATAACTAGATATGGTTGATCTTTATAGAATGAGTATTAGTATACCTAATATTAGCTAGAAAATACCTATTTATATTTAGCTGAGACTTCTTATCTTTTTTTAAAAAAAGTATTTCATTGTAAAGAAGCTGTACAGAGGGGTTACAGATACATGAGTAAGGTAATGAGAACATATCTTGTCAAACATGTTTTTCTCCTATCCGCTTTGTTTTTCTCCTATCATCCCTTTGAGACTTCTTATCTTGAAGTCTATGAATATACTTTTAAGTCACATTATTTGAAGAGATATTGGTAAAAAAAATTTTTGAAGCAATGAGTTTGACTTTAAAGATTGTCTCTTGCCAAAGTTAAATTGTTTATATAAACATTTAAAAACCCAATTGTAGCTTGGGTGAAGTAGTTGTTTTACTTTGTCCTGATCAGGATTTTACCTAAAAAGAAAAGGGAGCAAGGATCACATCAGTTCTGTCCTCTGTCTTGCTGAGAGAAGAGAATTCCTTCCAGCAGAAAATAGTACTGCAGTTGTGGCTTAGAGGTAGAAGCTCCTATCTAGCAAGTATGAAGACCACAGTTCAAAACTCCAATGTTGTACCCCCTAAATTTTAAAAAACCATACATCAAGATTTTTCTAGAGCCCCACACTTTCCAGTGTCTCCAAGGTCTATTCACAGATGAGGCAATACAAGGCACTTTGATTTTTCCTGAGAAGTAAAACTTCAGGTGAATATGTTTGATTTGTGTGTGTGTGTGTGTGTGTGTGTGTGTGTGTGCTGGTCCTGGGGCTTGAACTCGGGGTCTGAGTGCTGTCACTAAGCTTTTGTACTCAAGGCTAGTGCTCTACCAGTTGATCCACAGCTCCACAAACTTTCTGCCTAGACTGGCTTTTCCTCAAATCTCAGCCTCCTGAGTCAATGGGATTACACTGACACCCAGCAAATAATATTCTTTTTCTTGCACATCTAACATTAAGTCTATCCTCATAACCCCTTTTAATGAGGACAGTGTGGCATTATTAGCTCTAGGTATCACACTGGACAGCAGATCTGTAGGCTGATTCCTCTCACAAAACCCCAGTTCCCTGTCCCCCTTCTCTTCTCTAGCTATATGCATTTTTCCAGACTTGTTGAAAATTATCCATGAAAGACAGTATGAGGAACTTATACATTTTTATAAAACAGAACAAAAGAGACAAGAAAACATGCTGGTATCGTAGATATCCCATAGACATTTGACCAGACTATGATAAAATTTTTAAGTGACAGTATTCATGGAGAACTGACATTACAACAATGAACTGCCCTTGTGAATACATCCTCTTTGGTAAGATGTAAGTAGAGTGACTATTCTAGATATTATTAGGAAAAGTTAAGAGGTCCCATGTACCTGCCCACTTCATGATGAGACCCTGCAAACCCAGCTGAGGGGCTGGGGCCCTAGACTGGCATCCATTGTAGATGATGTAAGTGTCCTGTGTTAAATGCAGCTTCTGCCTTGGGAACACAGTGCAGACTTTAGTGTTTCTTGTTGAACAATCCAAAATCTTTGAAGACATCATTGCATTGTCATATTTGATTGCTAAAACAAAACAAGTGAAGTGGGAAGATATGTTAGATGTGACAATGTTTTTTGCAACAATGAAACATGAAAAGGGAAACATTTAAATAGCATTATGGATAAATAAAGCAGAGTTCTATTTATGAGCAAAACTTTCCTTAGATGAAATATGTTAACACTGTTTGCTGTTTCTTATGAAGTAATGACTGTTTGAGTAATTAATGATTTGGAAACAATTCCTTCATAATCCATGCATTTTTGTTATTTAAAACTAGGGATACAATTATTTAAAACTGGGGATACAGTTCAGTGGTAGAGCACTTATCTACTTATGTGTGAGGTCCTGGATATGATCCACAGCACTGAAAAAAACAAACAAGTGCAGAAAAGATTGCAGAAGGGCTGGGAAGGTGGCTCAGTGGTAGAGCGCTTGCCTTGCATGCATGAGGCCATGGGTTCAATTCCTCAGCACCACATAAGCAGAAAAAGCCAGAAGTGGCGCTGTAGCTCAAGTGGTAGAGCGCTAGCCTTGAGCTGAAGAGCTGAGGGACAGCGCCCAGGTCCAGAGTTCAGGCCCCACAAAAAAAAAAAAAAAAAAAGAAAGAAAGAAAGAAAGAAAGAAAGAAAAGATTGCAGAATAGAATTAAACTGTATGTTGAAATTTTTGTCTCTTTGGGTATAGTAGTACACTTCTGTAATTCCAGCACTCCACAGGCTGAGGCGGAAGAATTATAAGTCTAGGGCAGCCTGGCCTAAATAGCAAGACCCTGTCTGAAGGGGAAAAAGAGAAAGAAAAAAGTATTACTAGTTTACACTGTACTAACAAACATTTCTGGCCCTACCTGAGGTCGTGCAGTAGAATGGGTAAGGGTTGGGCTCTGTGCTTGGAGTCAGCTTACCTTTCTGTCCTTCATCATTTTATTCTCACCTGTACTGCGCTTACTAAATGTTGTTTAGCACCTGGTAAAACAAATACTTGTTAGTATTTCAACTTTAGCATTTGGCAACTAGTTTTCACATTGTTGTATCAGAACCATAGTTTTATCAGAAATATAGTCAGTTTTATTTATTGTTGTGGTTTCTGTGTGTGTGTGTGTGTGTGTGTGTGTGTGTGTGTGTGTGTGTGTTGGCACTGGGTATTGAATGCAGAGATTTTGTTTATCTATGTTGTTCAAGGCTAGTCTTCTACCCCTTGAGCCATACCTGTCTGGCTTTTTGCTGGTTTATTGTAGATGAGTCTCTCAGATTTGTCTGCCTGGGTGGGCTTTGAACCTTCAGATCTCCGCCTCTGGAATAGATAGGTTTACAGGTGTGAGCCACCAGTGCCCGGCTACAGGTGTGTGTGTGTGTGTGTGTGTGTGTGTGTGTCTGTGTGTCTGTGTGTCTGTGTCTCTGTGTGTGTGTGTCTGTGTGTGTCTCTCTGTGTGTGTGTTGTGTGTCTGTGTGTGTGTGGTTTTGTTTTGTTTTTTGATGCTGTGACTTTAAAGTTTCTATATAATTTATTAAATCTTGGTATCAAAACCATTTTCAGTGGTACATTTTGTGAGAGTTATCAAGGTAAATGGGAAAATACTAATCACACAACTATGCAAAATGGATTCCCAGAAGTCTGTATCTCAGGAGGATAGCTAGGTTTAATATCTCAAATATACATTTGAGAAAAATTCTACCCACTATATTCCAAAGGATTCCTTGAGGCTACCAACAGTAGTGGAGCATCGTCAGTATTGCTCATGCTGTGGGTGTTGAGGGAGCCATGGAGAGTGGGCCCTGCTGTCACTGAGGCCAGAGTCACAGTGTCACTGCTACCCAGGCTGGGGGAGGGGAGCAGGTAGGGCTAAAGCACATGGACTTCTTCCACTGAGATTATGAAAACATTAATGCAACTATTTTCTTCACAGTCAGATATAATTGGTTGTGCTCAAGAAGTGGAAAAGATGATAAGGCAGTTAGGAGCCCAGATGGAACAATTAAAACTGACTGTAAAGTCAAAGACAGCTGTCCCAACCTCACAAGTCTTTGTAAGTATTTGAAATCAACTCTGACCTTTTTTTTTTTAAATGGTGCTGAGCAAGCAGGGAAAGCTCATGCTGGGCAAGTGCTCTACCATTGATATACAATCCTGCTGATGGCTTATGTCCTAGGTGCTGTCCCTGAGATAATTTTTTTTTTTTTGGTCCAGTCGTGGAGCTGAACTCTGGGCCTGGGCGCTGTCCCTCAGTTCTTCAGCTCAAGGCTAGCGCTCTACCACTTGAGCCACAGCGCCACTTCTGGCTTTTATTCTTTTTGCTTATGTGGTGCTGAGGAATCGAACCCAGGGCCTCAAGCATGCAAGGCAAGCGCTCTACCACTGAGCCACCTTCCCAGCCCCACCCTGAGATAATTTTGCTCAAGCTAACACTTTACTACCTGAGCTACAGTTCCATTTCTAGCTTTTTGGTGGTTAATTGGAGATGTGTCTCACTGACTTACCTGCATGGGCTGACTTTGAACCTTGACCCTGAATAGCTAGGATTACAGACATAAGCCATCAGCACCTGGCCTTCTGTTTCTTTTTGCAACAGGGTTCATATGGAAGCCAGACAGAACTTAAGACATAACCCAGGCTTACCTCTAACTCATGATGCTTCCGGCTCTGCCTTTTGAGCACTACTTTTCATAGCATAACTTTGATCTCCTTAAAAGCAAACTTACTTTTTAAAGTAGAATTTAGATACCCAATTTAGATATAGAATAAAGTAGAATTTTGATATAGAAAATTCCATTTCACTGACGAAGTGGTACATCTTTGCAGCTTTTGCTGCACCAAGTATTGAAGGTAAAAACACAAAATGAAATACGTGATTTTTGAAAATACTGCAGATTTTCAAATACAGTACTTTCGTAACTAAAAAGCAATATGATTCAGGTAAACGTAATCTGTGGAAAAAGAGCTCAGGAAAAATGAATTATGGATATCAGATAAGGATTGTCTTTCTCAACACCAAGCAAAATAAATTCTTTGAAATAAAATACAAGTTTATTTTCTTATAAATCAAACTTCTATCTAGAGCCTGTTGTGCAATTTCCCAAAACTTTCACTTAAGAAAGGATGAGTTTCTTTACAAAGGACAACTATACTTAGTTTTTAATGTATTTTTATTATTGTAGAGATGATGTACAGAGGAGTTACTGTTACATAAGTCAGGTAATGAGTAAATTTCTCTTTGAATCATATTACCCCTCTCTTTACTTTCTCCCAGTTTTCCCCTCCTATTTCTACCCACAAGATGTATAGTTCATTTTCCACATAGTGTCTAGTGAGTACCACTGTTGCATTTGTTCACCTTTTGTTCCACCTTTTCTGTGCTCCCCTAACCATTCCAAAGAAAAACTGACAAACAATCAAAAGGAAAGATGACACAAACAGCAACAATAACAAAATATCTCATTTCCTTTTCTTGGAGTTCATTTTGTAAAGTATTATTTTATATAATCATATGCCAATAGCTATTGAGCCTCTGTGATCCACTGCTATTAATATCTCACTGTGGTCTCACTGTGTGAATGTCTAGAGACCTGTATAATTTATTATTTCCCAGTGTATTTTTTTAGCCATCCAGTGTGTTTACTTGTAGATTGATAGGCACATTCTAGTTATCATAAATGATAGATACCATGTAACCTATAGTTTTGGGGATGTGACTTACTTTGCTTAATATAATTTTTTCTAAGTCTGTCAATTTCCTTATGAATGGTATAATATCATTCTTTCTGGTGGAAATGTACAATTCCATTGTGTATATATACTACATTTTCTCAATCCATTCATCCACTGAAACGCACCCTCCACCAGAATCAATTCTAAATGGATGAAAGACCTCAATGTAAGACCAGATACCATGAAACTATTACAAGAAGTGATAGAAGAAACACTAGGGCTCCTTGGCATGGGTCATAACTTCCTAAATAAAGATCCAGAATCACAACACATCAAAGAAAGACTGGATACAAAGGATCACATCAAACGGAAGAGTTTCTGTACGGCAAAGGACATAGCTAGCAAGATAAATAGAAAGCCCACAGAATGGCAGAAGATCTTTACCAGATATGCATCAGACAAGAGCCTCATATCTGAAATATACTTAGAGCTCAAAAAATTAAACCCCTGGGCTGGAAAGGTGGCTCAGTGGTAGAGCACTTGCCTCACATGATGAGGCCCTGGATTCGATTCCTCAGCACCACATAAGCAGAAAAAGCCAGAAGTAGCACTATGGCTCAAGTGGTAGAGCCTGCTAGCCTTGAGCTGAAGAGCTGAGGGACAGTGGTCATGCCCAGAGTTCAGGCCCCACGACCGACAAAAATAAAAATAAAAACCCTCAAAAAATCAACTACCTAATTAATAAATAGACTAAAGACTTAAAGAGAGACTTTTCAGAGGAAGAAGTAAGAATGACCAATAGACACATGAAGAAATGTTCAACATCTCTGTCCATAAAAGAAATGCAAATCAGCCGGGTGCCAGTGGCTCATGCCTGTAATCCTAGCAACTCACCAGGCTGAGATCTGAGGATCCACGGTTCAAAGCCAGCCCAGACAGGAAATCCTTGATACTCTTACTTCCAATTAACCACCAGAAAACTGAAAGTGGTGCTGTGGCTCAAGTGGTAGAGTACCAGCCTTGAGCACATAAAACCCTGGTCTAAGCCCCAGTACCTGCACATACACACAAAAAGGAATGCAATGACTTATCCATCTTTTCACACATTACATTGTGGGTTATTTTTCTCTCCCTCAGCCCATCTTCACTGCACTGGCCAGCCTTTGGACAAGCTTTCAGGATGAGACTGTTTTGATTAGTGTCCTCAGTAACCTGACCACACACCTGGAGCCATTCCTGGGCACTCATGAACTGCTTTTTCCTAACAAAGTCATGAAAGAACTTCTTAAAGATGTGACTGTGAAGACAGATGTGTACAGAATCAAAGAACACATGGGTAATGAAGGCCACCCATCACTCCTCCTCCTCTGTAGCAGTTCTCTAGGATAAACTCACTTTTTCTTTAATATTTTCATATTACAGGTTTCTGAGAAAGCACCAAGTGTCTTTCTTGATTGTAAAATACTACTGTTCATTTTTTAAAATTGTGGCAAGTACAAAGTATGTAAATTTTTTTTCCATTTTATTTTATTTTATTTTTTTGTGAACATACTGTACAGAGGGGTTACAATTACATGGGCAGGATAATGCGTACATTTCTTACCAAGCATTGCAGCCTCCTCCTTTGTTTACCCTTCACATCCCTTCCCAGCCTCCCCCCTTCCCCCTCCCCCCCACCCCACCCCCCCGCACCAACGTTGTAAAGCTCGTTTTCGAGATGACAACTTGTACTTCTGCAACAGGTCCACCTGTATCCTTAAACGACTTGTTTTTCCCCATCTCCTCCACAAGTTATACTGACATCAAATATAGTGAAAGCAGGGGTTATACTGTGGGGGAGGGACAAAAGTATGTAAATTTTAACCATCAATGACCATTCTGAATGTTATTCTTCATATTTTGCTGAACAATGATTATATGCATATATTGTAGAGTTATTAGAGGCTTTATTACTATTATTATTAGTATTATTTTGGTGGTGTTGGGATTTGAACTCAGGGCATTACGCTTGATAAGCAACTATCCTGCCACTTAAATTATACCTCCAGCCTTTTTTGCTTCAAACAGGGTATGACAGCTTCCAGTATGGGCCTCCAATTGAGATCCTTCTGTCTCTGTCTAGATGGCATAATAGGCATGAGACACCACACCCAATCCCTAGAAGTTTTATTCTTGATATGTATATAGTAGGAAAAGATATTAATCTTTGCTATAGTTCTTAGAAATAAATCCCTAGTTTTCTGGAATGCCATTGCTAAGTATTTACCTCAGATCAAGTTAAGAATTTATAAACCAATACATTTGTCCCTGTAAAATTAGTTAAGCTTATTTTAGGCCCTTCAGGAGATATGCTGATTCTTATAGATAAACTGCCTTTATTGACAAACTTTTATCCTTTCAGTCTTTTCTATCTTAAAGACAGTTCAAAATTTATGAGAAATGCCAGAGTAGAATCTGGACCTTGAGTTATTACCTAAAATTAAAGTTTTGCCAGAATATGAAATTAGATAATGTATCAATTTCCTTTTCAAATCCTATTTGGGTAAAAATAGAAAAATGTGGCAATAATTCCCTTTCTTATATATTGATATATTGAAGTGTATATAAATTGAACACTCAAAAGAATCTTGTGCTAGGTGCTACTGGCTGGGTGCCTGTAATCCTAGCTACTCAGGAGGCTGAGATCTGAGGATCGTGGTTCAAAGCCAACCCAGACAGGAAAGTCTGTGAGACTTTTATCACCAATAAACCACCAGAAAACCAGAAGTGGCATTGTGGCTCAAGTGGTAGAGTGCTCTCCTTGAGGTAAAGAGCTCAGGGATAGTACCCAGGACCAGAGTTCAAGTTAAGCCCCATGACCAAAACCAACAACAACAAAAAGTCTTGTCAGTTCAGGATTTTAATACTTATTTTACTTCCTTACTATGGCATGTGTAGAAAAAAAAAGCAAGAGCCTACCTAAAAATGTAAAGTAAAAAGGGCTGGGGATCTGGCTCAAATGATACAGTGTTTGTCTAGTAAGGGTAAGGTCCTGAGTTCAAGTCCCCAGTACTTCCAAAAATCAAGCAAATTAAAAAGGACATTTTAGGCTGGACGCTGGTGGCTCACGGCTATAATCCTAGCTACGCAGGAGGCTGAGATCTGAGGATCAGGGTTCAAAGTCAGACCAGGAAGGAAAGTCTGTGGGACTCTTATCTCCAATAAACCATTAGAAAACCAGAAGTGGGGGCTGGGAAGGTGGCTCAGTGACAGAGTGTATGCCTCCCATGCATGAAGCCCTGGGTTCGATTCCTCAGCCCAAATACACAGAAAAAGCTGGAAGTGGCGCTGTGGCTCAAGTAGTAGAGCACCAGCCTTGAGCCAAAGAAGCTCAGGGACAGCGCTCAGGCCCTGAGTTCAAGCCCCAGGACTGACATAAAAAGAAAAAAAACACCCCGAAAACCAGAAGTGGCGCTGTGGCTCAAGTGGTAGAGCACTTGCCTTGAGCTGAAGAGCACAGGGACAGTGCCCAGGCCCAGAGTTCAAGCCCCACGACCCAACAACAACAAAAAAGGATATTTTGTCCAACCAAATGTGAAATGAAACCACACATGGAAGTCATTGCATCCGTGGGCACTGAGCTCAACCCTGCTCCTAATTACCAGGGTCATTCACTCACAAGTTCTGAGATTTAGATGTGTTATCTAAATGTCCTATCCCACCGTCATCAGAACTTTGTATTTATTAGAACACTCAGGTTATTTTCTAGTGAATTTTAAGAGAGCCAGTTGTGTGTGTGTGTGTGTGTGTCTGTGTCTGTGTGTCTATGTGTACGCACACACATGCACGCACATGCACGCACATGTCAGTACCAGGGTTTGAACTCAGGGCCTGTGTTCTTTCTCATTTTGCTTGCTTGGCTGGTACTCTATCACTTGAGTCCTATCTCTACCCTAGACTTACTTGGAACCATGATCTCCAGGTCTCAGCCTACTAAGTAGCTAGGATTATAGGCATGAGCCACTGCTCTGCACAACTTCAGTGTTCTTTTGAGATAATTTAATTCACACCTGTGTAACTTATTCTTGCTAGAGGCCTTGATAATATCCAGGAAGACTTAGATGTATTTTTCCAGGTTATATATTATTTCTAGTTGTAGCCATAAAGTTATTTGTAGGTCTACTATTTGTATTTAGAATCAGGCACAGAAATGTAAGTGGAACTGTAAAACTGAAGAATCTTGGGGGAATAATGTTTTCTTAATATATTGTTTATATAAAACATGGTCAATTTCATACCAAATAAGTAAACTAATAGGTATGAGAAAGAGTTTTAAAATATAATGAGCAAAATAATATGCTACCTGAATAAAAGTCAAGTTAGTAAGATATTTCTTTGACTCCTGTTTAGGACATTCTCTACTGTTTTTGAGATTCAGTGTCCTAACGTATAAGCATTTTGTCATCTACTATTTTGTTAAGAACTCTACCAACTGGAAGGAGTTCCTCCGGAGGAAGGTCTGGGCCAGCAGGAAAACTACATGCCCTGGCACATGTGTGTTGGTCAGCCCTCAGTCATTGCTTTTCTCATTGCTCCTCTCCTTTGTGTCCATTCTGGAGCAAAGTTCTACTTCCCAGGGTTTTTTTTTTTCTATTTTTTTCTTTTTTGCCTGACCTCAGGGACTGAGCACTGTCCTTGAGCTTTTTTTGCTCAAGGTTAGCATTCTACCACTTGAGCCACAGCACCACTTCCAGCTTTTTCTGTTTTTGTGGTACTGAGGAATTGAACCCAGGGCTTCATACATGCTAGGCAAGCACTCTACCACTAAGCCACATTCCCAGCCCCTACTTCCTTGTTTCCCCCAGCAAGTTATGTTGACCTTGGAAAGTCACTGGGGTCTTACTAATTTTTTGCCCAAGCTGGTCTTGAACCTTTATCTTCCTGATCTCTGCCTCCCAAGTATCTGGGATTACAGACATGAATTAACATGCCTGGCCCTCATTTGTATTTCTTTGTATTAACAGTCTCACCAGAAATATGTTTTTTTAAATGATTACTATCTTTAAGTAATTATGTTATTTATATCTGTACGTAGTTAAAGTTATTATTAACTTTAAATAGTTACCCAATGACGTGTTATCTTACATCTTGGTCATTACCCCTTTCATCCTTCTTTCCCATCCTTCCTAACCCTACCCTTCCTAAGGCATTATACTATTTGAATTCTTGCTTGAAAATAACCGTGTCAGTTAATGCATCTATGTACACTGGCATGGAGTCCTGAAGTATTTACTGGTATACTTATAAATTAGTGCTAGCTTTCACATAGGAGAGAAGACATTTGTCCTTTGTCTCTTTGGGCCTGACATCACTTAACATGATTTGTTTTCTAAGTCCATTCATTTCTTTACAAACGATGCAGTATCATTCTTTTAATAGATGAGTAAAATTCTGTTGTGTATATAGACTATATTTTCTTGATCCATTCACCCATTGAGGGGCACCTGGGCTGATTTCATGCCTTGGCTATGGTGAATAGTGCCATAGTGAACATGGTTATGCTGGGGTTTACTGTATCCTGATTCTGGATAAACACCTAAGAGTGTTTATTGCTAGAGCATAGGGTAGTTAGTTCTGTTGTTGTTTTTAGGAATTCCTGTACTGCTTCCCACCAACAATGTATTAGAATACTTTTCCTCCTACATCTATGCCAGCATCTGTTATTTTTTTTAATCTTTATTTTTTTTCAGTCCTAGACCTTGAACTTGGCCTGGGCACTATCCCCAAGCTCCTTTTGTTCAAGGCCACAACACCACTCCAGCTTTTTCTGTGGTTAATTGGAGATTAGAGTCTCCTGGACTGTCCTTCACAGGCTGGTTTCCAACCATCATCCTCAGATCGAAGGCTCCTGAATAGCTAGGATTATAGGCATGAGCCACAGGCAGCTGGCTCAAGCATCTGTTTTTGTTTGTGTTCTTGATGATGGATGTTCCAGCTGAGGTGAGATGGACTCTCAATGTTGTTTTGATTTACATTTCCTTTATGGACAAAGTCGTTGAGGATTTCTTCTTGTGTGTATTAGCCTTTGTACTTCTTCTTCTGAAAAGGCCCTTTTTAGCTCATTTACCCATTTATTAATCAGGTTGTTGATTGTTTGAGGGTTTCGTTTCTTAAGCTTTTTGTATATTCTAGATACTAGGCTATTGTCTGGCATATGGCTGGTAAAGATCTTCTCACATTCTATATGCTATCTATTTAGCTTTTTAATAGCTTGTCTTTTGCTATGCAGAAACTTCTGAGTTTGATGCAGTCCCATTTATCAGTTCTTTGATTTGCTGAGCCCCTGGAGCTTTACTCAGAAAGTTCTTGCCTGTGCTTGAGAAGCTGTACTGGTCTTACATCCAAGTCTTTGATCCATTTTGAATTGATATTCAAGGTGACAAATAGGGATCTGGTTCATTTTTCCACACATGGCATAATGTTATAGAGGCTTTTTGGTTTATCAAATATGTTTTTGGTTTATCAAATAGTAGATAGATATATGTCCTCTCAAATATTAGATGGGTGTAGGTCTATGGATTTATTTTGTTCCATTGGTTTTGGGGCCTGTTTTGTACTATTACCAACCTGTTTTCATTATTATAGTGCTTGTAGTAAGAGCTTGAAGTCTGGAAGTGTTATACTTTTAGCACTACTTTTTCTGCCCAGGATTTCTTTTGTGATTCATGGCCTTTTATAGTTCCTTTTGTGCTGGTACTGAGGTTTAAACTCAGTATGATCACTGTCCCTGAGCTTTTTTGCTCAAAGCTTTTATCACTTGAGGCACAGCTCCACTACTGGCACATGTGCGTGTGTGCGTGCAAGCATGTGTGCATGCGTATGTGTGTGTGCGTGTGTGTGTAATTAGAGATAAGTCTCAAGGACTTTCCTGTCTGGACTAGCTTCAAACCGTAACCCTCCGATCTAAGCCTCCTGAGTAACTAGGACTACAGGTAGGAGCCTGGTGCCCATCTAAAAATCTGGTTTTTGTATCAAGGTTCTGCCAAATACAAAAAGTACAAAACAATAAAAAGCTGAAAGCTAATGTTTGTAATAAACTACTGGTGACTGGTTTTGGAAGTTTAATCTTTCCAATGAATGCAAGTTTTCCTACTCACATTTTAGAGGAAAGAGTATCTTCGGTGGACATCAGAAAACTGGAATGGCTTTTTCCAGAAACCACAGCAAATTTTGATAAATTGTTAATTCAGTATCGTGGATTTTGTGGATACACATTTGCTACAACAGATGGTCTTCTCCTTCCAGGTATGTTACTGAAAATAATGCTGGTCCTCCTCTGTGCCAAGCATTTATTGTAACTCACTGGTTGATGCTTTATAGCTTCCTGGGGTTGGATAGTTAGGTGCAAAAGATGCTAGCTGTAGTATCTCCATGTTGGAAGTGTGGACAATACAACTTGGTTACCTTCACATGATTTCAAGTGATAAGTGATAGCATGTGTGGACAACTTCAGGGTCCCTTATCTGTAATGCTTGGGACAAGGTAGGTTTCAGATATTAGGGTACGTTGAGTTCTGGAATGTTTGCATAAGACATATGCTGGGGATGGGGCTCTAATCTTAACAGAATTCATTTATGTTTCATGTACATTGGATACACAGAGCCCAAAAACATACCGTATTTTTAATGCACTGCATTTTGACCAGGACCCATCACACAAGGTCTGGTGTAGACTTTTCTACTTATGACATCGTCATGTAGGCACTCAGAAAATTCCCAATTTGGGTTACCTTACAATTCAGAGTAGGGATGCTCAGCCTGTGTTTCAAAACATGAATCTATTATAAAACATGTGCCAGTGGCTCATGCCTGTAATCTTTGCCGCCTGCCCAGTTCTGGCATCAAAGTCCTCAAAGCACTCCACCTCCAGAAAAAAAATGCTCAACTGGTTACATTGGAGATAAAAGCCTCACCAACTTTGCTGCCTTGACTGCGATCCTCAGAGCTCAGTCTCTTAAGTAACTAGGATTACAGGTGGGAGCCACTGGTGCCCAGCCCTGTTCACCATGTTTCTAAGAGGAAAAGACAGAGGAAAGTAGAAAGACGGGGCTGGGAAGGTTGCTCAGTGGTAGAGCGCTTGCCTTGCATGCCTGAGGCTCTGGGTTCGATTCCTCAGCACCACATAAGCAAAAAGAAAAAAGCCAGAAGTGGCGCTGTGGCTCAAGTGGTAGAACGCTAGCCTTGAGCTGAAGAGCTGAGGGACAGCGCCTAGGCCCAGAGTTCAGGCCCCATGACGGGACCCAAAAAAATAAAAAAAGAACGTAGACTTGCCAGGCTTCATGAGGTCTTCAGACTCTCCTCTGAAGAAGCTAATCCTGTCTATTTTATTTCTGTTTGCTGTATCCTTTTTACTACATGGCTTTCTGGGTGTCAGCAGCTGCACAACCCCATGGGGATTTTGTAGGACTTCCCTCCTGCTGCTCGGCAGGCAGAGCGCACAGCTTACATCCTCAGGTGGCACTGTGGCTTGCCCACAGTCACTGTGCTTCAGTCACTTCACCGCCTACCACTCTTGTCCTGATTCCTTCTGCTCCAGCCACATTGTCCTTGCTGTTCAGGAGCCACTGCACCTGCGATTCCCTTGGGGGAAAGCTCTCCCCCAAGTCGCTCATGTTCTGTGCTGTCACCTTATCCAACCTTCCCTAGTTACCCAGTTTAAAACATCAGTCTCCCGTTCTTCCTTTTGCTATGTGTTTAGTTTGCCTTATTTAATACTTACTTTTTCTCTGTAGCCCTGATAAGTCTTTGGCCTGTAACATATTTGTGATTTGGTGACAGCAAAGCCTTTGTGTTTTTCTGTATTGTTAGTGCCAAGAACAGGATCAGTAAACTATTTGCTAAATAATGAAAGAATAAATACATTGAATAGTATTGTTTCTTAAATAATATGCATAAACTGTGGACATTTAATAGCGTACTCTATCTTTTTACAATGGGGAATATTTTATAACATGCTAAGTTGCATTTTGGAAAAGATGTCCCACTTTTGTAGTTTTTACTAGAGTTTTTTAGTAAGTAGTTTAAGTAGATTGGGAAAAAAATCTTCCAAATGAATAAGTGGCTTTCTTTTTCTTTTTTCTTGGTCAGTCATGGGCCTTGAACTCTGGGCCTCTGGGCATCATACCTAAGCTCTTCAGCTCAAGCCAAGTGCTCTACCATTTGAGCAACAGTGCCACTTCCAGTTTTCTGGTAGTTAATTGGAGATAGGAGTCTCACACACTTTCCTGACTGGGCTGGCTTTGAACTGTGATCCTCATGTCTCAGCCTCCTGAGTAGATAGGATTACAGGCGTGAGTCACTGGTGCCTGGCTGAATAAATGGCTTTTCAAAAAGGGTCTTTAACATCTTTTATTTGGAGAATGGGGAGGGTTTTTTTGTTTTTCTTTTTTTTTTTTGTCAGTGGTAGAGCTTGAACTCTGGGCCTGGGGCTGTCCTTCAGCTCTTCAGCTCAAAGCTAGTGCTCTACCACTTGAGCCACAGCACCACTTTGGTTTTGTGAGTGGTTTATTGGAGATAAGAGTCTCGCAGGCTTTCCTTCCTGGGCTGGCTTTGAACCACCATCCAGAGATCTCAGCCTCCTGAGTACTAGGATTACAGGTGTGAGCCACCAGCACCCAGCTGAATGGGGAATATTTTTATAAAACTAAAAAAATCTAAGCCAGGCATGGTGGCTCATGACTGTAATCCTAGCTACTTAGGTGGTAGATATAGTAGGATTATAATTTGAGATCAGACTGGGCAAAAAAGTTTGTGATACCCCAACTCAATAGAAAAAGCTGGATTGGTAGCCCAGGCTTGCCATCCAAGCTGTAGCAGGAAGTACAGTTAGAAGACTGTAGCCCAGGCCAGTTAGAGCAAAAGCAAGATGTTCACACAGGGTGCTGATAGCTCAGGCCTGTAATCCTAGCTACTCAGGAGGCTGAGATCTGAGGATAGCAGTTCAAAGCCAGCCTGGGCAGGAAAGTCCGTGAGACTCTTATCTCCAATAAACCACCAGAAAACCAGAAGTGGCACTGTGGCTCAAATGGTAGAGTACTAGCCTTGAGCTGAAGAGCTGAGGGACAGCGCCTGGGCCCAGAGTTCAAGCCCCATAACTAAAAACAACAACAAAAAAGCAAGATGCTCTCTCAGAAATAACCAGAGTGGAAAAAAAAGGATGGAGGTGTGGCTCAAGTGGCACCTGTGTAACGAGTGTGAAACCCTGAATTCAAATTCCAGTACTACCAAAATATAATAAAAATCTAAAAATATAATTAATTTAATATAACCTTCAAACCTACCATTTAATAATAGATATAGATATATAACTAGAAACTGATATGTTAGCAAAATAAAAATATAATTGATGTATTGAAAGCAGAGTATGTGCACTGGGATATAGCTTAGTGATAAAGCACTTGCCTAGCATGACCAAGGCTCTATATGTGAGCCCATCTAGAAACACACACACAAACACACATGTACCTACACACACACACACACACACACTCCTTAAACAACAAATACCCTAAGCCAGGAGTGTAAAGGAATGGTTCTGTGGGTTGTGATAAACAGAATCACATACTTGGGCTGGGTGGGATGCTCTACCACCAAAATTAGTGGTGGTAGTAGTAGTTAGTAGTAATACTGTCTCATACCTAATTCAATTGTTGTTCCTTCAGGAAACCCAGCAATTGGAATTTTAAAATACAAAGATAACTATTACACTTTCAATACCAAAGAGGCTGCATGCTTATTTGCAGACAATCCTGAAAACTTTATTAATTTAATTAAAGAAAAGGCCAAGAAGAATGCAGAGTTAATCCAGCTACTGGAACTTCACCAGCAGTTTGAAACCCTCATTCCATATTCACAGGTAAGCAAGCTCAATGCTTTTTAAGAGTATATCACATTTAAAAGTGTAGTTTGTTCAAAAGTTATATTCTAAAACCAGGCATTGGTGGCTCACACCTGCAATCCTAGCTACTCAGAACTAAGTTCAGAGCATAATGTTTTGTTTTGTTTTGTTTTTTTTGGGTCCGGTCGTGCGCCTTAACTCTGGGCTCAGCTCTTCAGCTCAAGGCTAGCGCTCTATGACTTGAGCCACAGCACCACTTCCGGCTTTTTTCTTTTTGCTTATGTGGTGCTGAGGAATCGAACCCAGGGCCTCATGCATGCAAGGCAAGCGCTCTACCACTGAGCCACCTTCCCAGCCCCGAGAGCATAATGTTTTGAAGCCGGCATTGGTCAGAACATCCATGCAACTCTTATCTCCAATTAACCACAGAGTGAAGGTTCAATTGGTAGAGCGCCAGCCCTAACTGAAAAAACTAAGGGACAGAGACCAGGTCCTGAGGTCAAGACTAGTACCAGTACCAGAAAAAAAAGATTATATTCTGTAGAATGCTTCCCAAGTACAGACAGAAACAAGGTTAGAGGAGGAGCTTTATAATTGTTGGGAAGAGATTCACATCTGAAGATGAAACCATGATAAATGAATCTACAAAGTTTAATGAAGACAACATTTGAAATCAAACTGATGCATCAAAGACAAAACATCTAGGATAAAGGCTTTGTTTATTTAAATAATTGAAAGTACAATATTTTTGGATCCAAATAATCGAAACTATAGTATTTATCTAAAATTAAAGAAGCTCACTTAGCACAGATAACATGGAGTTAGAAAGCAACTGAGCACATGGAAAGGCCAGAGAGTAGACCAAAGGTATGTCTAATATATAGCTATGCCCTGTTCTTAGTTCACCTATCGAATGTGTAGTAATGGACCTACTGTGTGCCAGGCATGATTCCTAGCATGGGAGTTAGTGAGAACACAGACCAGGTCCTGCCTCAGTCAGGTCCACAGGCTCTGTCCTCCTCCTCCTGTCTCTCACAGTCAGCCCTCACTTTTAGTTGGGTATGCTGTCTCTCTTTTCATTGAGTTCTTCTCTTTTTTAATTTTTAAAAATTGTTATTATAAAGGTGATGTACAGAGGGGTTACAGTTACATAAGTCAGTACATTTCTTTTTTTCCTTTTCTTTCTTTCTTTCTTTTTTTTGTTGGTTGTGGGACTTGAACTCTGGGCCTGGGCACTGTACCGCAGCTCTTCAGCTCAAGGTGAGCACTCTACCACTTGAGCCACAGTGCCACTTCCAGTTTCCTGGGAGTTTATTGGAGATAAGAGTCTCACAGACTTTCCTGCCCAAGCTGGTTTTGAACTGCAATCTTCAGATCTTAGCCTCCTGAGTAGCTAGGATTACAGGTGTGAGCCACCAGGCCCGGCTTGGAAAGTACATTTCTTTTTGGATAATGTCACCCCTTCCCTTGCTCTCTCCCAGTTTTTTCCTTCAGTCCCCACCCACAATTTGTATAGGTCATTTTCAACGTAAGGTCTAGTGAGTACCACTGCTGCATTTGTTCACTCTTTGTCCCTCCATTTATGTGCCCCCTTTACTCTCCCAAAGACAGATAAATGAATAAATAAGACAAAAGGAACAGAAAACAATAACAATAACAAATAATACCTCTTATTTCCATGGAATTCTTTTGATAAATATTATTTTATATGATCAGAGGCACATAGCACCTGTGTGTTTCTCCCCTAACAGTATGCTTCTTTAGTCTCACTGTCTGTGAATGCCTAGAATCTTATATAATTTGTCATGCTCCAGTGTCTTTTAGATCTAGCTTTTGCATAAGAGCTTGGTTTACCTCACTTAATGATTTTTTCTAGGTCAATACATTTCCCTGCAAATGGTGTAATATTATTCTAATGACTATGTAAAATTCCATTTTGTATAGCTGCCATATTTTCTTTTTATCTACTCATCTATTGTAGGGCATCTGGGTGAGTTCCTCCCTTTGAACTCTAAACATCATTTTGAAATATGTAGTTTAAAATGATTATTGCTGTTTTTTATTGTTTGTTTGTTTTGGTCTGATGCTGGGTCTTGAACTTGGTACCTGACACTTTCATTCATTGGCTGGCATTCTCCTAATTGAGCCACACTTCTCTGTGTGTGTGTGCATGTGTGTGTGTGTGTTTAAACTATGAAGTCAATGGGTTTTGGTACCACTAAGCCAACCTGCAGGGAGTCAAGCGGTAATTGTACTGACCTGCTCACCACAGAGAGGCACGGAGGGCATTCTTAGAACATGGGGGAAAGGTACCGGACCTAGGGTGTAGGGATGGTGTAGTAAGGAACTGCGGTGGTCAGGACCTTGGACAGCGCAGTTGGCACTGTTGTGAGATTGTGCTACTGCTTAGGTGATCTGATACTATGTACTTTATCTTTTGAATCAAGCCATTCTGCAGAGCCTTCTGGCTTCCTTCTGCTGTGACAAGACATGAACGTTGTCTTTTAGTGTCCTTTTGTGTGTGGGCAAAATCGTAGGCTTACAGTCTTTGCCTTAAATGATAGGTTACTCTCGAAGTGATTATCCATAACTCTGCTGGCACACACCTGGGTTTGTAATGTTTGACAATATTTGTCATTTTTTATAGTATGTAGTTTTCTGATAGTGAAATTCAACATCCCCTTCCTTCTTCCCTTCCTTCTTTCTTTTCTTTTTTCTTTCTTGGTACTGGGATTTTTTAACTTATCAGAGCCTTGTAATTGCCTGGAGCTCTCAATATTATAAGGCATTCTAATTTTATGTCTTTTTATATAGTAAGCCAGTTTTCCTAACATAATTTACTGAATAGTGTACGTTTTCCCCAGAATATGATGCATGTCAAGTATACTAACAGTTTTAACAGTTCTCTAATCTGTTCTATTGGTCTCTCTTTGTGTCTCTGTGGTGATGTTGCTCTGTTGTAATTGCCGTTGCTTTGTAATACAGTTGTTCCTTGTTGTCTGTAGAGGTTGTGTTTCAGGACATTCCTTGCATGCCAGAATCTGAGGCTGCGTAAGTCCTTTATATAAAATGGAAGAGCTTTTCAAATGACCTACACATATTCTCACACATACTTAAATCATCTCTACATTACTTGAACTACCTAATACAATGTAAATACTATGAAAATGGTTGTTATATTATTTAAGGACTGACAACAAGAAAAAAGCCTTTACATGTTCAGCGTATACTTTTTCTACAAAAATATTTGTGTTCTTCAGCTGGTTGAATCTAGGGCCCCAGAGCTATGGAAGTTTCTTAACAAATTGACTATGTTGTTCCCAAATCATGTGGGATTTCAACTGGAATTGTATTAAACTAGTAAAATAATATGTAGATGAAATTGTAAGTTATTATGTAATAAAGTTTCTTCATAAAATACCCTTTACTTCTATATTTCCTATTGTTATTACATCAGTTATAAAACTTCACCACTTAGTGATATTTTAATCTTTAACAGAAAACAGTAGTTGAGATCAGTGGGTTTTGTTTTTTTGTGATTGCTGTTGCTGTTGTTGTTTTTGCCAGTCCTGGGCCTTGACTTTGTGGCCTGCGCTACCACTTAAGCAACAGGTCCATTTCTGGTTTTCTGCTGGTTGTTGATTGATTGGAGTCTCACAGACTTTCCTGCCCAGGATGGCTTTGAACTACAATCATCAGATCTCAGTCCCTTGAGTAGTTAGTATTACAGGTATGAGCCACCAGCTCTGACTAAGATGTTTTTGTTTTCTTTATTTTAAAAGCTTTATTATCTTTAAGTAGTTGTATGAAGGAGTTCCCATTCACCAAAGCAGTTTATGAGTACAGTGCATCTTGGTCATTGTCACCCCAATCAATATTCTCACCCACTCCTTTCCTTAGTATTGAATTTTTGCAATTTAACAAAGCAGTTTATGTGTACAATGCATCTTGAACTGTGTCACCACTTCAACATCTTCACCCCCTTTAACCCAAGTCAAAGTGTGTGGTACACTTCTCAAGTCTGTGGTACAGGCTTTGACTTAGTCTTTTTAAAGCATTATACTATTTGCACTCTCCATAGAATCTATTACATAGAATCTATTGTATGGTAAGCAATGAATTAACTGCAATGTAATAGGTGTTGGAGAGTTGTGTCTATCATTTTAGCTACTTAGAAGACTGAGTTCTGAGGACCATGATGGCAAATTGAGAGACTTTTATCTATAATTAGACAGCCAAAAGCTTAAAGTGGAACTGTGACCCAAGTGGTAGAGTTCTAGCTTTGAGCAAATAAAAACTAAGGAGGAGCACCCAGGCCCTGAGTTCAAGCTCCAGTTATTGTGCATGTGCACGTGCATGTGTGCATACACACACACAAACATACAACACACAATTATGTAGCAATTCTAAGTAAAATTAAAGGCTAAAAATAAAAACTAGGGGAGGGAAGGTGACTGGGAAGGTGGTAGAGTGCTAGCCTTGAGCTGAAGACCTGAGTGTCCAAGCCCAGAGTTCAGACCCCATGACCGACCAAAAAAAAAAAAAAACCCAACTACATGTGGTAGGAATATATCCTACCCAATAATAGATTTTTCTTTTTTTACATGGTGTAGAAATACACGCTTCTCAATAACTGTGTGTGTGTGTCTGTGTGTCTGTGTGTCTATGTGTGTGTGTGTCTGTGTCTGTGTCTGTGTGTAATGTCTGGCCTAGGGCTTAAACTCAGGGCCTGAGCACTGTCCTTGAGATTTATTTTTGTCATAGCTAATGCTCCACCACTTTAGCCACAGCTCCTCTTCTGGCATTTTTGGTGATTAACTGGAGACAAGAGTATCGCTGATTTTCTTGCCTATGCTGGCTTTGAACTGTGATCTTTAGATCTCAGCTTCCTAAGTAGCTAGGATTACAGGCATTAGCCACCAGTGTCCAACTTATAACTGTTAATTATAATATATACCAAAAGGGATATAAAATATATCAATATACTAAAATAATTAGAATTGTAAGGTCTATAAGAAAACAATGTTGCCAGTTTCCTTTGTCTTCCCATAACATTTGTGGATTTTGTGTTACTTAGTCCTTGTCTTCTTTCTTTGCCATTTATGTGTGTATTTGTAAACAGTATATTGCTGTAAAATGACTGTGTTGTGTTCATTTTTTGTTAGTTGATTTTCTTCTTAGCATTTTGGAGGACTTTTTTTTTAAATGTTTTGGAGATGAATTATTTTCTAAGTTTTACAGATGCTTTTTCTCAGTTTGTAGTTTACCTTGTCTTCTTTGTTTTTTTGAAACTGGGATCTGGCGATATAGCCTTAAACTTGAGATCTTCCCTCCTCAGCTTCAAGGATGCTGGGATTATAAGCATGTACTCTCCTTGCCTGCCTTTGTGGTTTGTTTTGTTTTTCTTCACACTACTGAGGTGTAAGATAGGTTCTTTACCACTTGAGCCATGCATGCCCACGACCCTTTCTTGATATCTTTTTTTTGGGGGGGGGTCCGGTTGTGGGGCCTGAACTCTGGGCCTGGGCGCTGTCCCTCAGCTCTTCAGCTCAAGGCTAGCGCTCTACCACTTGAGCCACAGCGCCACTTCCGGCTTTTTTTTTACTTTTTGCTTATGTGGTGATGAGGAATCGAACCCAGGGCCTCAAGCATGCAAGGCAAGCGCTCTACCACTGAGCCACCTTCCCTGCTCCAATGCTATTGATTTTTTAAAGCTGGTCCTGGGGCTTGAACTCAGGACCTGGGCTTTGTCCCTATACCTATTTGTACTCAAAGCTAGCCTCTACCACTTGAGTGATAGTAGCACTTCTGGCTTTTTCTGAGCAGTTTATTAGAGTCTCACTGACATTTCCTGCCTATGCTGGTTTCAAAACATGATCCTCAGATCTTAGCTTCTGAAATAAATGAATACATCCTCGTTATAGCAGTTGCTGTAGTCCAGGAGATAAATAATGATGGTAGCTTAAGGTTTTAGTGGCAATAATGATAATCTTTTGTCAGCCATATAGCTTTTGGAGGAGGAATTTGGTCTATGGGGCTCATTTTCCCATTCTCTTAGCTCCTAAATTAAGGAATATATCAGAAGATTACTGTAGAAGTATTGGTACAGAAAGACATCTGAAAAATGGGGTTGGGAATGTGGCTTAGTGGTAGAGTGCTTGCCTAGCATGCATGAAGCCCTGGGTTCAATTCCTCAGTACCACATAAGCAGAAAAAGCTGGAAGTGGTGCTATGGCTCAAGTGGTAGAGCGCTTGCCTTGAGCTGAAGAGCTGAGGGACAGCGCCCAGGCCCAGAGTTCAGGCTCCATGACTGACAAAAAAAAAAAAATCCTATTTGATCCTGAAATTACAAATGCCCTAATACATTATCTTTTAAAATATAGGTTTACTTTTCATATTGGCATCTTTAATCCATTTGAATTTGATGTTTGTGTTGGTTAGTTACAAAGATACAATACTAATTTTTTCTATTTGTAGAAATGTTTTCCTAGACCATTGATCTAAAGGGTTTTTGTTTCCCTACTAATCTACTGTTTCTTATAAATGAATAAAGCCTCATTCTGGAGCTCTGTTTTGTTTAATTACTTAATTTTAAAACACTGCCTAAATGGATACTTATTGAAGTTTTGAAATAAGTGTCTTCTTTTGTAAATATACTTTTTAAAAATGGTATTACAAAGGTGTTATACAGAGGGGTTACAGTTTATTTTTGTACAGTGTCACCCCTTCCCTTGCTCTCTCCCAGTTTTTCCCTCCCATCCCCACCCACAAGTTGTATAGTTCATTTTCAACATGGTGTCTAGTGAGTACCAGTGCTGCATTTGTTCACCTTTTGTCCCTCCATTTCTATGCCCTCCTTACCCTCCCAAAGACAGAAAATAACCAACAAGACAAAAAAAAAGAGAAAACAATAACAAAGAAATACCTCTTATTTCCATTTCCTGGAGTTCATCTGGGTAACTATTAGATGATCAGAGGCATATATGTAGTGAGCCTTTGTTTTTCTCTCCTAAGAGTATCCTCCTTTGGTCTCACTGTGTGTGGATGCCTAGAGTCTTGTATAATTTTTCATAACCTGGTGTATTTTAGATCTAGCTTCTGTATATGAGAGAAAATGTGTCATTTGTGTGTTTGAATTTGGCTTACCTCACTTAACATGATTTGTCCATTCAATTCCCTGTAAATGACACAATATTCTTTCTATGTAAAATTCTATTGTGTATAGGTATCATATTTTTTGGATCCACTCATCTATTATAGAACATCTGGGCTGTTTCCATAGCTTGGCTATGATGAATAGTACAGCAATAAACATGGATGTATAAGTGTCTTTATGGTATCCTGACTTGCGATGTTCTGGGTAGATGCCCAGGAGTGAGTGGTATGGCTGAGTCATGAGAAAGATCTATGTTTGGCTTTTTAAGAAACTTCCAGAATGCTGTCTGTAGTAAGCCTTGATAATTGGTAGAGGAGGTTCCCCCTCATTTCTTTCTCTAAAAAGTCTTGACTAGCTCCGATGTTTAGCTTCATATGACGTTGAGAAGTACATTGTCAAGTTGCACAAAAACTCTCGAAGGAATTCATGTTGAAAACACCTTGCATCATATATGTAGATAAATAAGAGAAGAACTGACATATTCACAACATTAATTCTCCCTATTCAGAACTTAAATACAGTTTTATATGTTTCTTTTTTCCTTAGAAATGACTTGAATATCTTTTGGTAATTTTATTTCTAGAGACCCTACATTATATTCATTGTTAGTTTTAAATGCTATTGATTTTTTTTGGGGGGGGGTCCGGTCATGGGGCTTGAACTCTGGGCCTGGGTGCTGTCCCTCAGCTCTTCAGCTCAAGGCGAGCGCTCTACCACTTGAGCTACAGCACCACTTCCCAGTATGCTTTTATCAAATGGACTAGATCACAAGATACTTTTAAGCCAGCACCAATAGCTCATGTCTGTAATCCTACCCACTTGGAAAGACTCTATCTCCAATTAACCAGCAGAAAGACAAGTGGAGGGATGGCTCAAGTGGTAGAGTGTCAGCCTTGGACGAAAAATCTAAGCAAGAGTGCAAGGTCCTAAATTCAAGCTGGAGTATATAAAAAACATTATGTCCTATGTCTCAAATGGTGGGCATTTGGTGATTTCCTGTGCTTGATTTGGGGAGAGCAGTTAGTGCCCTCTTCTTCCTCCACCTCATATCAACCACTCCAGCAATGTCAACTGTAGCTCAGGTGTGGCTTATTTAGTCTGGAACCCCTAAATCCTTCATGCTGGGCATCTCAGCAGAAAATCAGTATATCCCACTGCAAACAAAAAGCAACCAAAAACTGAAAACCTTGGCTAATATGCTGTCTGTGTATAAGTTTAAGTTCAAGATATATTTTAATGAGGGTTTAAACTGATGTGAGATATCTATACATATATTTTCATATATATATTTGTGTGTGTGTATATATATATATATATATATATATATGATAGTGGCCATTTTAACTTTCTAACTACTTCCAACAAGTTATGTACTTTTACTGATTGTGGAAAATGGGCAGGGACATTTGAGGATCTGGGAGAGAGAGGCATATTCTTGCCTTCATATTATTCCCCCTCCAATTCAAAGAATCACACAAAAAGCCAGGCTGTAAGGAAAAATGAATGCTGAGCTTACTAATTATAAACTTATTAGTTATGAGCTTATTTATAAGTATATTCTGTAGTCAAGAATTCTTGTTTTTCTAGTCTTTTAATTATCTGTGTATTGTGTTTTATTCTTTATATGTGTTTGTGCCAGTATTTGGGCATGAACTTGTGCCAGAACTCAGGGCCTTAGCTTTTTCACTCAAGGCTGGCACTCTACCACTTGAGTCACACCTCTGCTTCTAGCTTTTTGATGGAGATAAATCTTTTGGGGGGGTGGGAGATGGGAAGGGATGGGAAGGGAAAACAAAGGTGGCAACAAAGCTTGATAAGAAATGTACTCATTATCTTGCCCATGTAATTGTAACCCCTCTGTACGGTATTTTCACAATTTAAATAAATTAATTAATTTTAAAAAAGAGTCTTTTGGACTTGTCTGCCTATGCTGGCTTTGAATTAGTATCTTCAGATCTCATCCTTCTGAGTAACTAAGTGCCCAACTTATTAGGTTTTTTGTTTTTGTGTCAGTCCTGGGACTTGAACTCCAGTCCTGGGCACTGTCCCTGAGCTATTGGGCTCAAGGCTAGTTCTGTACCACTTGAGCTACAGCTCCATTTTTGGCTTTTGGTGGTTAATTGGACATGAGTCTAATGGATGTTCCTGGCCAGGCTGGCTTCCTTGAAAATCAGTTACAGGCGTGAGGCACTAGTGCTCAAGTCAACTTACTGTTTTATGCTTTCCAAGAACTAATTACAAAACTCTCTTTTTTAGATGAGAGATGTTGACAAGCATTACATAAAGCCAATCACCAAGTGTGAAAGCAGCACACAGACCGACACCCACATATTGCCACCCAACATCGTGCGGTCCTACGAGTGGAACGAGTGGGAACTAAGAAGAAAAGCCATAAAACTGGTTTGTAGCAGGGCTTGCTAAATTTATCACTTGATTGGGGAATTTTAATATGTTGTTCTTTGTTGGTACTTACTTAAAAAACAATGAATTCCACACAGCTCTTTGCCAACATACAAATAAGCATAATTTATAATGTGCATCTTAACCTTGTAAGACTAATTTTATTTTTTAAGACTAATTTTAAGTACAGTATGTTCACAAATAAAATAAAATTTAAAAAAGACTAATTTTAAGGAAGTGGAGCTATGGCTCAAGTGGTAGAATGCCATCCTTGAATTAGAAAGCTAAGGTATAGTACCCAGGCTCTAAGTTCAAGACCCAGTACCAAAAACAGAAGAGGGAAAAAAAAACAAATTTTAAGCATATATAGGAGTATAGAAGTATGGAACTTCTGGGGTGAGGACCACCGGGAGACACTAACTACAGCCAACAGAAAGTCTTTATTACCTGCCTGGACTACACTGGACAGTCGGGTGCCCCCAGAAAGGCAGTGCCAAGCCTGGTCTCATGGCCTCTTTTAAGGCAGAAAGCCCATCCCCCTTATTTGCTTAGGGGTGGAAAGTCCTTAATGGTTACAGAAGCTAAAACAATGCTGTAAGCAAGGATGAGTCAGCGAAAACAATGCTGTAAGCAGTTATGACCTGGGACAACATGTCTGTTACCATGATGTTACTATGATCAATTCTATAATCCATTACTATTCTCATTTCCATAATCTGTTACTATGTTTGTTACTTAGAAACAGAACAATGGCTACATATATCTTTAAAATGTCAAACTGTAAGGAGCTAGTCTCACGGATGGGTTTGCAGTCCTTTAAGATGGAGTCACAAAAACAAAATGGGAGTTATAGAACCTTAGAGTAAACTAAGATGGTAAAATTTGACAAGCCCTATTACAGAATTATTCTTCAATGATACAAGCCAGACTTCTGACCTCAAAAGAGACAATCCATCGAGGCACGGTTCAAGATAACAAATTTATTTACACTATTTACACCAGAACGGGGGCCTGCAACTACCTTGTCCTGGGCTAGATACCTAGAACCAGGAGCAGCCTCGACCTCCAAGCCTCCAGTAGGCAGCCCCAACCTTTATTAGTCAGTCTGCAAACTACCAATCAGTCGGTCTGCAAACCTCCAAACCTCACACCTCCAAAGCTCCAAAGGGGAAGGCTTTTCCATTTCTTCCCCTCCTCTTCCTCTACAGGCCTCTTGGCTCTCCACAGGCCTGCCCTACTCTGTTCCATGAGGTGCCTCTCCCCAGGCCTCTCTAGAAGAAAGTCCCAAATGGCCTCTCCAGGCTCCCCTGCCCTCCTCAGGCCTGTTCTATTGTACTCAGGCAGGCTTTCCCACCCTGCTTGACGCCACACCCACTCCAGGAGCAGCCATGACCCCCTTTTGGCAGCATGCCCGCCCTTCGGAGGCATGGCAAGCCCGTGGGGTGGTGACATCAGCCTCTCGATGCCCACCCCCTCCAGCAGTCTAGGCCACGGGCCCAGTCTGATTACTGGAGCCCGGCTATTTATTATACCAGGAAGGAGAACAATGACAATTATCCAACAGTTTTAAAACTTAGAGCTAATCTAAGTGAAAAAGCTAAGCCAGCAGGCAAGGTTCTGAGTTCAAGCACATCCTGAGTTTCTCCCAAGTGCTGGGATTACAGGCTTGTGCTACCCTGCCCGGACTGCCCCATCTTAACGGTCAGCTTATTCTGTATAGACACCAGGATCTCTTGTCTTTCAGTTGTTAAAACTGTAACATTTGGTGCCCACCCTGTTTGAAAACCCTCCACCCTGTTCATCTTGTCATTTTAGACAGCAAACGTTCACAGCCTAAGTGAAATGAAATCAAATGGGCCCTCGTCTGTAATCCTAGCTACTCAGGAGGCCGACGTCTGAGGGTCACAATCCAAAGCCAGGAGAGTCTGTGAGACTCTTTACCTCCAACAGATTACAGAAAGAGAAAAGAAAAGAGGAGGCTGGAAGTGGAGTGTGGTCAAGCAGAGGGCCAGCCTTGAGCCCACGTGCAGCCACGGGTGGGAGTGCACGCAGACCTCCCGGCCCCCCGCCCCCTCCCTACAGGAAGTGGGAAAACGGAAGTCAAACCAAACCAGAGCAACCACAGCCGCGGGCGGGCCAGCCCCACCCCCCTCCCCCGCGGGAGCCGGCTTCGGAGGTCTCTTCGCCACATTTGCATATCCAGCCTCCGATAGGCTCCCGCCTTCCGAGGCCTCGCCCCGCTGGGGCCGTGCGCACGTGGACCGTCGCGCGCGCTCTCCCACACCCCACACAGTTGTATCGTTTTTCCGGGCTGGTCCCGGGCTGGTCCCCGGGCCTGGGCTCAGGGCTGGGCGCTCCCGCTCCCGGCGCTTGCTCTGTCGCGTGGAACACACCTCCGCTTCCAGCTTCTTGCTGGTTGATTGGAGATGCAATGGCCTCGGATCGCAGCTCGGGGGCGGGGCCCCGGGCGCCTCCCAGCGTTTTCTGTCCACTCAACCTCCAGTTCATCGCACATTCGTTACACACCGCCGCCCCCTGGAAGGATGAATAGTCCAGCAAAGGACACTGAGAGGCTGAAACGGTGAAGTCAGAGAAGGCTTCCTACCACTTAGAACCATCCCTGAGTCGCCCTTTTCATTTGCTCTTCCATGATGATTAAAAAAAAAGTTTAAAGAGCCCACGTAATCTGTGTAATCTCATGTTAATCCAGAGTAAGAAAAATTAAGAGTAACAGAATAAAAACAAAACATCAGTCTCATATTAAAAATGTAGGGAAATGTCTATTTTATAAAAACAATAGAAATCGTACATTGTTGTCTTAAAAACAATGTTCTGTGGTGGTAGATGCTGGTAATTCCAGCTACTCGGAAGGCAGAGACAGGAAGATGACCAGTTTGAGGCCAGTCTATTCAGGAGATAAAAGGGTTGGATTTGTGACTCAAGTGACAGAACATTTGCCTAGCAAAGTGAAGTCCTGGGTTCAGTCCCCAGTACTACAAATTTAATCATACATACATACAAACAAAAGTAAGCCTTGATAGGGTATTGCCCACTTGTAATCCCAGCTGCTTGGGAGATGAACATCTGAAAGATCATAGTTTGAAGCTAGCCCAGATGAAAAGTTAGTGAGACCCCCAGCTCACTCCACAAGCTGGGCCTATCATCCAAGCTACACCAGAGGCCTAAGTAGGATGATTTCTTTCTGAGGCTGGCCCTAAGCAAACAAACACAACACCTTATCTGGAATTAACTAGAGCAAATAGGTTGGGGGTATGGCTCAGGTGGTAAAGTGCTTGCCTAGTAAATGCAAGGTCCTGAGTTCAAACCTAGTATTGCACAAAATAAGGCAATCTAGTATATTGGAAAAACCCAAGCTTGTATGAATCTCAATGTATGAATTCACTGAAACTCTGAATCTGGTGTTTTCCTTCTTTGGATTCGTCTTCAACATTCTATGTGTTTCCCTACTTAATAAGGGATACAAAAAATTGGGGGGGCATATTCCCCAGCCCTTTTTACCTTTAGTCTGTTTTTCAGAGAGGGTCTCACCATTTTTTTTTTTGGTCAGTTGTGGGGCTTGAACTCTGGGCCTGGGTGCTGTCCCTGAGCCCTTCAACTCAAGGCTAGTGTTCTACCTCTTGAGCCACAGCACCACTTCCCTAATAATATTTTTTATTAATACGTTTTTTTATTGTGAAAATACCATACAGAGGGGTTACAATTACATGAGCAAGGTAATGAGTACATTTCTTATCAAGCATTGTTGCCTCCTCCTT